AGAAGATTGACCATGAATGGAGAACTGTTGAAACTGGATTTATTGTTCTCTGGCCTCTCTTTTTGTATATGTTTGAAATTTACCAAAACAAAACCATTTTTATTTATTTATTTATTTATTTATTTAGAGTTGGAGTCTCACTGTCGCCCAGACTGGAGTGCAGTGGCCGCTCCCGGCCACCACAGCCTCGACCTGCTGGGCTTCGGCGATCCTTTCACCTCAGCCTTCCAGTAGCTGGAACTACAGGCGCGCGCTGCCACGCCCGGCTAATTTTTTGATTTATTGTAGAGATGAGGTCTTGCCAAGTTGCCCAGGTGGGTCTCGAACCTGCGGGCTCAGGCAATCCACCCACCTCAGTCTCCCAAAGGCACAGGATTACAGGCTGAGCCACTGAGCCCGGCTACAAAACCATTTTAAAAACGACTTTAATTGTCTAGCAGTCCAAGCCCTCCCAAATATGAGTTAATACCTGAAAAATCAATAAATTGCACTCAGAAGTATTTCTGGGATTTTAATTTCAAATCACAAGTCTGAATTACTCAGCTGCATATTTTAAAGTGGAACCATGAGACAAATCATCTCAAACAATATAGATAATTAAATTACAGAATATGCACAGATTTTTCTAAATACAAATTGTTCCTCTTAGGGATTCATTTCTCGAACATTTCTGTTCGTTATTCATGAGGCCAAAAGACACCAGCCTGCCAAGAGAACACATATGATCCCAAACAGTCTGGCATTACCTTCCTAAACAGTTCCTGAAGTTGCCCTGTCAGCTGACAGGATTCTTAACGACCAACAGGTCCTTGTCCAAGATGCCAACTGGACCCTTGTCCAGGACACAGGGAGGACAGACACCCTGAACACTCTTTGGAGTTTGCTGTGGTAGCACCCTCCAAATGAAGTCTGGCAGTCAGATCTGTGGGGTGAAGTTCTGTCATTACCTATTTTTATTTTTTACTCTTGGAAGTTTGGAACTTCCACTGAGAGAAAAACTAATGGCTTTCCCTGCTTGGCTGGTTTTGCATTTCTTTCGTTTTTGAAAAGAGACTTCATTGACTTTTTGGTTAGCTCTAAAGACCTTTACACACTCAGGGAGACTTTCTCTCTCTGCTAGGGCTTTGCCTGACTGCAGAGAAGGCCGTTTTAAGGAGACATGGGATCTAATGTTTGCAAGTTCCCTCTCATGCGGTGCGAGCCAGGCTGCGAGTCGCAGCTCATGAGTGGGTCCTGAGTCGGAGAGTGATTCACCTTCGGCATTAAACACATCATAGAACTGTGGAAAATATTGAAAGGCGTTATGAGTTGTAAGGAAAATATCACTTTTTTGAAACTTAAAAAAAATGTGTATTTAGAGGTAAGCCACTTTTTTACTGTGGGGTCACTTTTTGAACTCTGTCACTTCAGTGTGAGGCCAGGAGAATTGGGAGAGCCCAGCACACGAGCCTGAACTGATAAGGAGGAGGCTGGCCCCAGCCAAAACCAACACCAAGACACAACCTTGCTGAAAGCAAATGGAGAGCTACAAAAATAAAGCCCGGTGGCTTCTTAGTGGGGGACAGATTGTCTCTGCTAAAGACACAGATGGGCCAGGCCCGGTGACTTACACCTGTTATCCCAGCACTTTGTGAGACAGAGGTGAGAAGATTGCCTGAGCCCAGGGGTTCGAGACAGGCCTCGGCTACTTGGTGAGATTTAGTCTCTACAATAAATAAAAAAATTAGTTGAGCGGGGTGGTGCACACCTGTAGTTCCAGCTATTGTCAGGCTGAGATGGAAGGATTGCCAGAGCCCAGCAGGTCGACGCTGGGGTGGCTGTGAGCATACTACTGCGCTCCAGTCTGGGAGACAGAGTGAGACTGCGAAAAAAAAAAAGACATAGATGACGGCATTTTATTAATTTTATGAATTTTATTTTATTTAATTTATTTATTTATTTTGAGTTGGAGTCTCCTCTATCGCCCAGACTGGAGTGCCTCGCCTGCTGGGTTCCGGCGATCCTTCCGCCTCAGCCTTCCAAGTAGCCGGAATTACAGGCATGTGCTACCACACCCGGCTGATTTTTTGATTTATTGTAGAGATGAGGTCTCGCTGCCCAGGTGGGTCTCGAACCCGAGGAATTTTATTTTTATGTCTATTCTTTTTCTCAGGCTCTTCCTTATTCCCCATTTTTTCCTTTTGGTAGCACCGTGCTTGGCCCAATGTAGACAGCTCTATAAATTTTTATTGGATTTAAATATACTGATTTATTTCAGAGGGCTGTGGGGGAAGAGCCCGGGGCCTGGGAATCTGCATTTTTTTGTTAGGCATCTCATTCTGTCACCCAGGCTGAAGTGCAGTGCCACACTCACGGCCACCCCAGCATTGACCTGCTGGGCTCTGGCAATCCTTCCACCTCAGCCTTCCAAGTAACCAGAGCTACAGCCACGTGCTACCATGCCCGACTAATTTTGAGTTTTGAATATAGAGATGAGGTTTCTCCAAGTTGCTGGGGCTGGTCTCGAACCTGCAGGCTCAGGCAATCCACTCGCCTCGGCATCCCAAAATGTTGGGATTACAGGCTGAGCCTCTGAGCCAGGCCGGGAATCTGCATTTTAACCTGCATTTCAGGCAGTCAATCTGGCTGCAGTAGCAGACCGTTATTTAAGAAGCACCGAGCCGGGCTCGGTGGCTCAGTCTGTAATTCTGCGCCTTGGGAGGCTGAGGTGAGTGGATTGCCTGAGCCTGTGGGTTCGAGACCCGCCTGGACAACTTGGCGAGACCTCATTTCTACAGTAAATAAAAAAAAAAAAAAAATCAACCGGGCATGGTACCATGCGCCTGTAGTTCCAGTTACTCGGAAGGCTGAGGTGGAAGGATCGCCGGAGCCCAGCAGGTGGAGGCTGCGGTGGCCGGGAGTGGCCACTGCACTCCAGTCTGGGCGACAGAGTGAGACTCTGGTCTGGACTCCGTGCTTCCTCCCCACCCCTTCTCATCCTTTCTGCTGCCTGCAGACGTTTTCCTAAGTCACCATCATTTCATTTTCCTGCTCTATGGCTTTGGCTTTCTCTCTGCTGCCTGAGGCATAAGACCTCTTGCCACAGTCTGCCTGCCATGACTTCCCCCAGCTCGTCTCCTCAACCTCTTATCTCTGCCAGTCTCCCAACCCTCTTCTTTTGAGTGCACCTCTCAATCCTTAGACTACTTGGTACCTCACCCTTCCCTGGCTCTGATCTTCTGTTCATGTTGTATCCTCTAATTGAAACCGTCTCTAATTTCCTCTGAATTGCATCCATCCTCCCAAGCCGAGTTCAAGGGCCGCTTCCACAAAACCTTCCCTGCTTTGGAGTTCATCACGCCTCCCTCTGTGCTTCCCCTTGATCTTTGTTCATATTCTCTTATGGCACCTAAGACTTGCCAGCCTGGGACTTTGTTAGCTCGGCCTGTGTCTGATGAGAAAGGAAGTTCGTAGAAGGCGGTGTTCGTGTGTTCTTTACTTGCCTTGCAACCAGTATTAAACATTTGTTAAATCAATTTTTCTATGGGTTCCAATTCCATCCAAGTTAATATTCATTGGCAGCTTGGCCAGTTAGCTTGTGTGAAACAGGGTTTTCAACCTCCAGTTTCATATGTAGACCCAGAGCTCCTTGTGACTTCTTTGCCATTCTGTTTAAGTCCAACCCAAAAAACCACTGCTGGGGTTGTGTACAGTTGATGGTGAATAATTTTCAGTCTGTTTTCCTCCAGAGAGGTGGTGGACAGGCGGATAAAAGGGGAGTAATCAGAGAGAAAGAGTTAGCAAACTGACTCTTTTTTTTTTGAAGAGACATTAAGCTTTATTTAAAAAGTACAATTAAAGACACATGATATTAAATAATAAGTCATTGGCAAGATTTATTGGAATTGTGCATCTTGGAATTTTTATAATAAAATGCATGATAGGGGTTAACCCCTTTCCTACAAGGGAAATGAAGGTGAGAAAGTTCAAGTTCATTTAGCTGTACATACATTGGTAAAGTGTTTTTTTGTTTGTTTGGTTGTTTTAGATTCAGGGGGTGCATGTGCCAGTTTGTTATGTGGTTATATTGTGTGTTGTAAGTGGGAACTAAACACCTTGTACACACACCATAAGGATGGGAATAATGGACACTGGAGACTCCCAATGAAGAGAGGCGGGAAGGGAGATAGAGGCTGAAAAACTACCCATTGGGTTCCAGCCTCACCACTTGAGTGACGGGCTCAGTAGAAGCAAACTGGGTCTTGAATAACTGCTGTTTCTACGAGATAGGGTGGGAGCCAGGCATGGTGGCTCACACCTGTAACTCCAGTATTTTGGGAGGCTGAAGCAGGAGAACTGCTTGAGCCCAGGAGTTTGAGACCAACCAGACTGCGTCTCTATAAAAAATAAAAAAAATTAGTTGGGCATGGTGATGTGTGTTTGTAGTCCCAGCTACTTAGTGGGAGAATCAGTTGAGCCCAGGAGGTTGAGGCTGTGAGCTATGATTGTGCTACTGTGCTCCAGCCTGGGTGACAGAGTGAGATCCTGACTCCAAAAAGGGGGGGGGGGGGGGGCAGGGATTGCCAGAGAAGTGAACAGGGCATGAACAAAAATATAAGACAGGGGCTGGTGACCAAAGGTTTTCTGTGGGCAACCCCTCTGGGTTTCTTGGGAAGCCTTGCAGCTTGTCTTCCCAGCACATCAGGTCAGCTCCGTTCTCCATCTGCTAGTGGAGCAACCCAGCACTGGGAGCGATATTTGGGCCATTCCCAAGATAGCAAATCCTCTGCCTAAGTTAAAGAGAAGAACAGAAAGTCTAGTGCAAAAGTGCACAAACTAAAACGCTTTTTTTCTTGCCGACTTTGATGCCTATTAAATAACTTTCACATGGTCACACTGAGGGATTTTTGAAAAGTGAAATCATGATTGAATGCATTTTGTGTGTGTGTGACAGGGAGCACGCCTAAGTTTAAAAAGATTGAAATCCTCAAATTGCAATGAAAATGTGTCTGTTTTGCTGTTTTAGGTTCCTTGCACTGACGCCATGGAGAGTGTATCACCTGATTTCTGTCATGATCCTTGGGCGTGTTATTATGCAGATAATAAAGGATATGGTTTTGTCTAGAACAAGAGGTGAGAGAACTCAGATTTCATTTTTATGCTATTTATTTTTCTAGACCCTGCATCTCTGATCTTTGTGTAGGCATATTAACCAATCAGTCCTTCGAATGGTTGCAAAGTAATAGATTGGCATGGCTGTTTTCAATATGGTAATTTATTTAATCCATGTTCATAGCTACTGCTCCTGGGCAAAGGGTTTGTGTGTGTTGGATTTTCTCTTGGCTATAAGCGCTATTTTAAATATCATTCTGGTATTCAAGTAGGCAGCCATGAGGATAACAGTTAAATATTTATTACATCTCATGATGAAACTGGGCCACTGGAAAATGGTCTAGTTTATATAAAATTTTTCTGTGTCTCAGTGAAGAAAAACAATTAATTCAAGGTTTAAAAATGACTACGTGATGGTTAAATAAATTTTTAAAATGAGCTACCAATGAATTTTAAACATTCAGCTTAAAAGGGAGAGTTTGAATTATTTTGTAAAATTTGCTTGAGATATTTTTTGAGTAATTTAAATGTTATAAATCTGAATTAAGCTTTTTCCATCCTTGGAGGGACCTCTTCTGCCAGTGTTTGAGCTAGTTTTTGTAAAATGGGCAAAAACGTTCCTGGGATTAATTGAGCTCCACAAGCCTAAATGTAATAAGATAAATTTGATTAAAAAATAGCCAAGAGCAAATCACAGTGAGACATTTAATTTAGCCAAATGCACCACAAATGGAGAGATGCTTTTAATTGAGGCCCTTGTGGGTTGATGTGTATAAGAACTGCCCAGCCTCCTAGTCCTGGTGGGGATACTGAGGCCCGCTCTTTGGAAGGAACTTTTCTCCTTCCCAATGCCAACTTGAGACTGGGGATATCAACTTTAACAGATCTGCCATCATGATGTTCTAGAGGTCTGTATTAAAATCCAGTTTATATTTTAAGACTGTTTAATTTTTAAATTAAATCGTCGTGTAAGCCATTTTGGGAAAGATTGCTTTCCATGAGTGTGTTTCCAGGCTTGAAGATAATTCCTTCCTAGTGTTCTGGGAACACAAACAAGTGAGTTTTTGTGCAGTTAATGCTTTTCATGAATCTGTGGATTTTGGTTATATGATGGTATGCACTCTTCCTTCTCTCCCTCTCTCTCCCTCTCCATCTTCCTTTTTTCTGTTTCAGAGAAAATACACCCACTCCCTAACTTTCACCCTCAACATGCACTTGCTGGGCTACTTGTCATATGTCTTAAGGCCGCTTTGGGGTGAAGCATCTTGGTTCATTTCAGGTTTTGTGCAAGAGTCAGTTGGAGCAGTCCATGGTGATTCCCATATTTCGACCTTGATTCCCAGCTGATAAAGGGGAGCCTGTTTTTCTCAAATAGACTTTGTAATATTTTTACTCCTTGAGAGGAATATTAGATGAAACAGCTACTCACACCTTTTATCAGTGACCATTTTAGCCTGGTAGAGCACGAAGACTCACAAAGCAAACTGGGCATCTCAATATTTTCAGTATCTCAGATTTGGCCCAAGGATGAAGTTGAAAGACTCCCTGACTGTCCTGTTCTCACTCCCAGCCCCTCATACTGGGGTCGTTTCTGGTGTCGACTCATTGGCTTAAGATTCATGTAGGTGTGGAGATTTCATACTCACACATTGCAGGAGACTTTTCCATTGCAAAGATTCAAACCTTTAAAAAACTAAGGTGGCAGAGTTGAAAGAACACTAGCCGAAAGAGTCTCGTTCTTGGGCCAGTTCATTCCATGTCCTAGCTGAAGAGAAGCCGCATAACAGACTCTTTGTTTCCTATGGTTGTTGTAATAAAGTGCCGCGAAGTGAGTGGGCCAAAAAAACCAGAAATTTCTTCTCTCAGAGTTCTAGGGGAGTCCAAAGTCCTTATCACTGGACCCAAACCAAGGTGCTGAGAGGGTTGTCCTCCCTCCAGAGGCTCCAGGGAAGGCTACATTCCTTGTGTCTCCAGCCTCTGGCAGTTGTGGTATTCCTTGGCTTGTAAACACATGACTGCAGTCTCTGCCTTCATGGTCATGTTGCCTTCTCTTCTGTCTGTGTCAAATCTCCTCCTGCCTCCTTCTTGTAAGGAGACTTGTGATTGCATTTAGAGCTCATGTAGATAATCCATGATCATTTTCTTATGTCATATTTCTTAACTTGTTTGCATCTGCAGAGATCCTTTTTCTGTATGAAGTAACATCCACACATTTCAGGGATTAAGGCTTAATATCTTTGTGAGCCATTATTCCGCCTACTAGACCATCGAAACCTCTTTGTCCTGTAAAATGGCAGAAACCGTCTTCACAGCACAGAGCTTTATAAGTGGCCAGTGGAAATGTCAAGTAAAGAGCCTTCTTAGTGGAAGTCTCCTTTGCTCGGCTGACACATCATCAGGACCACATGGGGTTAGTTCCCTTGCCAGTCAGGCTGCGTTGAGCCTCTTTCTGTGCCAAGGCTGGGCTCTCAGTGGGGATGCAGTCGCAGCCAGCCTCTCTGCTTAGGCGGTGCTCTTCCACTCCATCCTGCAGGTCAGCTGTTGCCAGAGGCCAGCCTTTCTGCCAGGGTGACATTGCTCTGAGCATAGCATTTCTACTGCATGGAAAAAAAAAAAGTAGAAATGGGAGTCATTACTCTGCTTTCCCAGAACTCCCTGGTCTGTGACTGAAGAAACCCTGGTGCCTGCTTCATCTTCCTTTAGTGAAGTCTTTTAGGACAAAGACCCATTTGAGAGCTCTGTGAATAGCTGGCAGGAGCCGATCCTGCGGGCCTTGAAGCGCAGGGCGCTGCTGCAAAGAATTTATCTCTGCAGGGCACAGTTTGGCTTCAAGTTAACTCCAGATGCTGCGATGGTAACTCCGTGGCTTCAGTCTGGTCTGTCAGCCGTTCTCATCAGATACCTCAGCTTACAGCAGTGACAGTGACAATGACAAGGAAAGGGCGACCAACCAGCGGGGCTTACTGGGAAGTTCTGCTTCCTCTTCTCTCTCTCTCAACTTCTCTGCTTCCTACAGTTTTTGACTGAAACATCCAACTTTTATTGCTAAGAGTTTAATTGTACCTCTCTAGTTATAATCACTTTTTAAACTCTCTCACCCAAATTTTAAGTGTATAGTGTTGCTACTTCTATGCCCATTGCAGTGTAGCAAGATTTCTAGAACGTTTCAGTCTTCGATGACTGGAACGCTGTATTCATTGAGTAGCTAAGTGACCCCTTCCCCCATCCTTTCTTCTTCCAGCCCCTGGCAGCCACCATTCTACTTTCTCCTTCTGTGAGTTCGATTACTCCCAAATACTGTCTTTTTTTTTGGAGTTGGAGTCTCACTCTGTCACCCAGGCTGGAGGGCAGTGACATGCTTCCAGCTGGCCACCGCAGCTTCGACCTCCTGGGCTCTGGCATTCCTCCCGCCTCAGCCTTCCAAGCAGCCGGAACTACAGGCATGCACTGCCACGCTAATTTTTGATTTATTATAGAGACGAGGTCTTACCAAGTTGCCCGGGTGTGTCTCGAACCTGTGGGCTCAGGCAATCTTCTCGACTCAGCCTCCCAAAGTGCTGGGATTACAGGCTGAGCCCCCGACCCCGGCCCAAATATTATCTTAAAAATTTTTTTTATAACCTTTCTACTTTTATTCTGTTGGACCGAAGTCAGTCACGTGGCCAAAGTCAGCTAGCAGAAGGCAGGACAATATCATCTTTATTCTGGGTGGCTTTATGCCCTGCTAACAATTAGGGATTCTAGTCCTAAGAATGAAGGAGAGAACAAATATTGGAAAACAGCGAACAGATTCTGCCCCAGCCCCAAGCAAGTCTCCAGGCCCATTGCCTCTCTTTATCTTCCATCCTTCCAGTTGCCTTCTTAGATGGCTCATCATCATCTCAGTTGTTATCTTTGATACCATCTTAGGGTGTTTAAAGGGAAATATAGGATCCTGTCCCCCCCCAAAAAAGCAGAAGTACCAGCTCGTGAATTAATCTTTGTGAAACCCACAGGAGACCATGCCTCTATTTTGTGAGTCACCCATAAGGACACCTGCCAGCTGTGATGGATTTCCTTCTGTTTCTCTCTTTTGTTGCTGTGTGCCTTGAGTGTACTTCTCTGCACTGACTCCTTTGGGCGCTGAGGAACTCTGCTGTGGCCTGGACAACTCCTGCATTCTTCAACTTTTCCTTGACCACGTCTTCCTTCTCTCTCGTTGAGACAGAGCTAGTCATTTCCCTCTCCAGGTCTCTTGAGGCTCTTTCTCAGCTACTGGCCTGCGCTGTGGGTAGGAGGGCCCAGCAGGCAGCCTCATGGTTCCCTGCCCATTGGCGGAACCACTCGTAGCCACTGCCCCTTGACACTTTCCCTCCTGTCCACTTTCCCCGTGTCCTTGTCACCCTAGTTGCTGTTGATGTAGACCCACTAGGGATGGTGGCCCATAAACTGTAGTCCTTTACATGTCCCCTGCTCATTGCCGTTCCAACTTGGACCTGGAAGGCTTGTCTGATGGTCTGAGTTTGGCCACCTACTAAGTAGCCTCATCTCTGACCTTGGCCTCTGGAAGCACCGTGTCTCCAGCACCTGTGAAGTCTGGGAGTCAGTTCCCAGTGCACCCTCTGTCCACCCCTCCCCGGCCTCTTGCTCCTGTTGAACTGGGTCTTTGACTGTTAGTTTGACTCTTTCCCTGCTTAGCTTCTTGTCGTTTGTACTGACCCTCAGCCCTGTCTTTGACCTGACTTCCCTCCTCCACATAGCCCCACCTGGTCTGTGCTCAGTGGTCACAAACATGCTGTCCTCGCCTTTCTAAGGGTGCTTATCCATCAGCGGTACTCATTTCTCCAATTTTTTTTTTTTGAGTCAGAGAGTCACTTTGATGCCCAGGCTGGAGTACACTCGCAGCTCACTGTAGCCTTGGCATCTTGGGCTCCTTCCACTTTAGCCCTCTGAGTAGCTGGGACATTATGAGCACAACCATGCCTGGCTAATTTTTTGAATTTTTGTAGAGATGAGGTCTTACTTCGTTGCCCTGGCTGGTCTTGAACTCCTGGGCTCAAGCAATCCTCCCGCCTTGGCCTCCCAAAGTGTTGGGTTTACAGGCGTGAGCCACCATGTCATTTCTCCAATTGTTAATCTTAAGACACATAAGCACACATCCCCTCCCAGTATCTGCTTTCTCCACTCTTGGCTCCAGTGTTCTTAGAGAAATATCAGGTGACAAAGTGAGTCGAGGCCTCCAGAATTGAGTCTCTCCAGCTTTCCAACTTCAGTTGAGACCTCACTGTGCTCACAATTCCCTGTGTTCTTTTGAGTGGTCGATTTGTTTTTATATACTGCCTAACTCCAACAGGTTTGAAACAACTTATTAGGAACATAAAACACAAGACTACTTAAAAGAAGTCTCGTAGACAAGCAGGAATCTAACGTGGTGACCAAGACTGAGCAACAGGTGTATTCTTGTGCTTCCTGGTAGCCAAGACAAAAAGGCGAACCCGATGAATTGCACAGTTCTACTTGTTGAAGAAAATGAAGCAAGCAACTTTGAGAAACATTTCTGGAAGTAAATGTTAAGAATTTACCCCATATTCGGGACCTGCCTTGGCAACTTGGCGAGACCTCATCTCTACAATAAATCAAAAAATTAGCCGGGCGTGGTAGTGCACGCCTGTAGTTCCAGCTGTTTGGAAGGCTGAGGTGGAAGGATCACTGGAGCCCAGCAGGTCAAGGCTGCAGTGGCCGGGAGCTGTCACTGCACTCCAGTCTGGGCGACAGAGTGAGACTCCAAGTCAAAAAAAAAAAAAAGAATTTATCCCATAGATTTTGATAGGGGATATTGGTGAACATAAAGTGCGACATCTTTGGCCTTTTGTTCAATGCATAAACTTCATTAAGCTGATAGCTGGGAGTATAATCTCAATATATTATCTTAATTAAGTTGATAGCTGGGAGTCTAATAATGGCAGTCATTGGATGATTAAGAAAGCAGATAAGATCTAGGTATATATATTTTTTCTGCTGATTTCCTTTGAGCCTAGATATCAACTCAAACATCTAAAGAATGAATTGATTAAAATCTTTTCTCAGCCAGCTGCTGTGGCTCATGCCTGTAATTCTAGCACTTTGGGAGGCTGAGGCAGCAAATTGCTTGAGTCCAGGAGTTCGAGACCAGTCTGGGCAATATAGTGAGACCTCATCTTTACAAAAAAAAAAAAAAAATTAGCCAGGCATGGTGGTACATGCCTGTAGTCCCAGCTATGCAGAAGGCTGAGGCAGAAAGATTGCCCAAGCCCAGGAGGTTGAGGCTGCGGTGAGCCATGATTGTCATGATCATGCCAGGGCACTCCAGCCTGGGCAACAGAGTGAGACCCCTACTCAAAAAAAAAAAAAATCTTTTTTGAATTAACAGTTGTCTTAGATCTCCTTTGTCAGCACTATATCCAGACTTGCCTTCAATGCTATCGCTGTTATTGGCGCTTTTCTGAGCAGCCACATTTCCCTTCTTCCCTGAACTGTCATGGCTTTACCTTCTGTGTACTTCTTATGCACTTGTCTTGGCTCATATTTACTTGAATGATATTTTGTCTGCCCCACTGGGCAGTAACGTCCCCAAGGCAGGGGTCATGTTTTGTAGAGCCAGGTTGCCCAACCCCCAGGCCCTGGACTGGTAATGGTCCATGGCCCATAAGGAACTGGGCTGCACAGCGGGAGGTGAGCAGCGGGCATGTGAGTGAAGCTTCATCTGTATTGGCAGCCACTCCCCATCACTCACATTACTGCCTGAGCTCCGTCTTCTGTCAGATCAGTGGCGGCATTAGATTCTCATAGGTGCACGACCCTATTGTGAACTGTGCATACGAGGGATCTAGGTTGTGGGCTCCTCATGAGACTCTAATGCCTGAGGATCTGGCTGGAGCTGAGGCGGTGATGCTAGTGCTGGGGAGCAGTTGTAAATACAGATGAACATTAGCAGTGAGGTTTGACTGCACAGAGAACGTCATAAGTCAACTGCTTGCAGACTCACATCAAAACCCTATCAGTGAGGGGCAAGTAAGTTGATGGACTTCAATTGTGCAGCTGCATCTAGTGGCAGGCTTTAAGTCAGAATCTGACACTTATTTTTGTCCATGCATGGCTTGCCCATTGTTTTATTTACCACTTCCACTGCGCCTCTTTTTTTAAATGGCAAGGTGTGTAATTATTTCATTAAATATTCCAATATAATGCTAATAGAAATAAAGGGCACACTAAATGTTATGTGCTTGGATCATCCCGAAACCATTGCCCCACCCTGGTCCGTGGAAGAATTGTCTTCCACAGAACTGGTCCCTGATGCCAGAAAGGTTGGGGACCAGTGTTGTAGAGTGTCCCATTTCCCACAGTACCTACCCAAGTGTTTTGCATGTAGTAGGATCTCAGTACATTTGTGGACTCATTGATTGAGTTAGTTCTGGTGCTAGAAGCACACACTGTATAATCTCATAGTTTCTAGAGTTTAAAGACCTAAGCATTCTACTTTAAATAGCCCAGAATATTCTAAGAAATGCCTCAGAGGAAATCGACCTCGGCCAGGTTTCTTATTTTGTTTCTTTCTGTTGCAGGTGCACAGTTGTGGAGAAGCCTCAGTGAAAGGTAGGGAACTTTCTTTCAGTGTTGGTTAACGGGGCAGGGTGGGGAGGTGGTCAAGTCACCAAGCTGTATCTCTGGAGTAGTATTTTAGTGTCAGGGACCAAAACCCTAGAGTAATTGACAAGTGTGGGATAAGAATGAAGAATACGATGAACCCAAGGACAAGAATAAAATTGGGACTCATTCTAGGAAATTATTCAGGTTTTGCTGTAATGTTGGGCAACATGAATCTGTGAGAATTGTGATGAGTGGGGATTTGGAAGTGAAAGGAGGGAGGCATTTTCATTTGGGATTTCCTTTCAGACTTCATTTTTTTTTAAATCATATTTTTTATTTTAAAATTATGGGGTACAGTTAAGGGTTAGGTATACAAATATGCATCCTTCAGGCACCCTTGTGGATGAGGGGTGTCTCCTCATCCCCAGACAGATACTGACTACCATTAATCCCACCTCTCTTCCCCTCCCTACCCCCTCATAGTTTCCCACCACTGTCAATCCTTTTCTTATAGTTTTTTTTTTGAGTTGGAGTCTCACTCTGTCGCCCAGACTGGAGTGCAGTGGCCGCTCCCGGCCACCGCAGCCTCGACCTGCTGGGCTCCGGCGATCCTTCCACCTCAGCCTTCCAAGTAGCTTGAATTACAGGTGCACGCTACCACATCCGGCTAATTTTTTTGATTTATTGTAGAGATAAGGTCTCACCAAGTTGCCCAGGTGGGTCTCGAACCTGTGGGCTCAGGCAATCCAATCATCTCAGCCTCCCAAGGCGTGGGATTACAGGCTGAGCCACCGAGCCTGGCTTCTTATAGTATTGTGATAGACGTTCAAGGTCCACTATATGAGTGAGAACATGTGATACTCAGATCTTTGTTTCTGTGAGAGATCACTCAGTATTATAGATTCTAGTTCCATCCAGGTTGCTGCGAAATTCATGATTTTGTTCTTTTTTATGGCTGCGTAGTATTCCATCATGTATATATACCACATTTTTAAAATCCAATCCTCTTTTGATGGACAGCATGATTGGTTCCAGGTCCTTGCTATTGTGAACAATGCTGCGATAAACATATGTGTGCAGGTATCTTTTTTATAGAGTGATTTGAGTTCTTCAGGGTATATTCCCAGTAGGGAGATTGCAGGGTCATATGGGAGGTCGGTATTTAGAGCTTTTAGGAATCGCCACACTGCTTTCCACAGAGGTTGCACAAGTTTACACTCCCACCAACAGTGTAGAAGTATTCCCTTTTCACCACACCCTCTCCAGCAACTGTTATTTTTTGAGTTATTGATAATGGCCATTCCGACTGGAGTTAGGTGGTATTTCAGTGTAGTTTTAATTTACATCTCCTTGATGATTAGTGAGATTGAACATTTCTTCATGTGTCTGTTGACCGCTTAGATGTCTTCCTTTGAGAAGTATCTGTTCATATCTTTTGCCCACTTTGTAACGGGGCTGTTTGTTTTTTTCTTTTCAGCACGTTTGACTTCATTGTAGATCCAAGATGTTAGGCCTTTGTCAGACCTGGAATTGGCAAATACTTTTTCCCAGTCTGTGGGCTGTCTCCCTGCTCTCCTGATGGTTTTTTTGGCTTTGCAGAAGCTTGTCAGTTTAATAAGGTCCCACTTGTCTATCTTATCTCTTCTGGCCTGTGCGTTTCGGGTTTTGTTCAGGAATTGGATGCCAGTTCCAATTTCCATAAGGGTGTGTCCTGCATTTTCTAAGGTTCTTATGGTTTGAGATTTTACATTTAGGTCTCTGATCCATTTAGAGTTAATTTTTGTGTATGGGGATAGATAGGGCAGACTTCACTTTCGGGGCGTGAACAACACTGCTGAAGTGGGAGGAGAACAGGGCCACACCGGGTTGGAGAACTCTTCTGGGATGTTCCTGAAGGGTCAGCTGTGCTGTTGGTTCACAGGACTTTGGGGGGAGGATACACAGAGAAGGGGTGAGAGGCTCTCAGGTATGAGACCAACCACTTGAGTCTTTGCCCAGTCAGAGGCAAACATCAACCTCCTTTCATTTCATGTCTGCCATCCATCCATCCATCCATCCATCCATCCATCCATCCATCCATCCATCCCAACTATCCATCCATCCATCTGCCCATCCACCATCCATCCATCCATCCATCCATCTACCCCATGGTAAAGGTGCTGTTTACAAATGGAAGAGAAAAGTACCGGATGGTTGATGAAGGCCATACAATTCACCCCATCAGCTGGGCCTGGGAGAAGAGGAAAAATGAAGAAAGTATGAGGATTAATATTCCAGTAAACAAATGAATTTTTGTAGGAATTGTTTTTTTAAAGTTCTGCCTTAAAATATATTTATATTGGTTAAAAAGATGGTTGAGGTGTCTGATTTGTATCAACGTGGACATTGTGGAATGGAGGACAAAATAATGCCATAAAAAAACCCACGAGAAGACATAACCTGGCCTTTTAGATAATACACCTTGGGAAGCTATGCTCACAGACATCAGGTTCACTGTGGACAGGAAGGCTAATTTTATGATGACGTCACAACTGCTTGCTTGTTCCTTCCTCTCAGATCTCTTGTCTTCACGGGCAGATTGCGAACATGTCTAGATATTCAGGAGAGGGTGACCTTGGATCTAAGAAAATAACTTCAGTCTCTGGTTGTTCTCATGGAGGTGCGAGGTTGTGTGGGAAGGGTGGGCTCGCCTCAGGAGGAACCAGCATGGGCTCTGGTGGGCATTTGTTCTGCCTGGTGTTCTGCTCTGTTTGCAGAATGCAAGCAGTTTAAGATTATTATTTTTTTGTTGAGTGAGGGTCTCACTCTGTCACCCAGGCTGGACTGCAATGGTGCGATTATGGTGCATCAGAGCCTCAACCTCCTGAGCTTGGGTGATCCTTCTGCCTCAGCCTCCCAAGTAGCTGGGACCACAAGTGTGCACCACCACACCTGGTTTAGTTTTTTGAGTTACTGTAGAGGTGAAGTCTTGCTGTGTTGCCCCGGCTGGCCTTGAACTCCTGGGCTCTAACGATCCTGTCACCTTGGCCTCCCAAAGTGCTGAGAGTACAGGCATGAGTTGCTGCGTCCAACCTTCATTTTCTCTTTATTTCATGGGAATTTTCTTATGGGAATGCAATAATAAAGAAAACTCTGAATTGTTCTTTTGGGATAGGGAACCAGCCACGTGTTTTGGAGTTCATTAAAATGTGTTTGGGGTTTTGCTGTTTGTCTGCCTCCACACCCAGTGTGCTTTTCTGCATTGTCATTTTTTTAAGGAAAGGCATTTACACTGAGAACCGTACGAGAATGTCTTAGCTGGAAATAGCACCTGAGTTATGTTATATTGGAAATCAATAAAAGACATCCATGAAGACAAGGCACTTTGTGCTCTGAAGCGGAGTTCTTTCAGATCGTCTCCCTGGATTTCCTGGCATCCTTCCCCTCCATAACCCTTCTGGACATATTTAAAATTTGCCTGGGAGATTTTCTGCTGTTCATGTTCTCTTAGTACAGATGCATTGTGAGAGTTTGATAAGGATTTGGGAGAAATTATCACAGCAGGACCAAGGGACTCAATTTGCAGACTGTTAGGAATGGCTAGAGAGTGAGGAGGGAGCTCCTTATCCTTGGGCTTTTGACAGACTTAGGATATTTTTCTCCTTGGGGGAAGTGCTTGTGTGCCCCAGAGAAGGCATGCTAATGAAATACCATTTATAGGAATAGTCTCGTTCACCCCAGCATCGCCTTGGTGTGGATATCACATACAATTAATTTCCGTCCTGGTCCCAACCCTAAAACTGTTTGGTCTTGCCAAGTTTCCTTCTCTCTTGGCCTCAGTTTTCTCATCTGTTTAGTGGGAGGTAAGAGAGAATTATCTCAAATCTCCCATCCAGCCCTAAAAGTCTGTGATGGTGCAATTGGAGGGATTTATGTCCCTTTTATATTGTTACCTTTTTACATGTTTGTTTGGCCAGAGGCTCTTTCAAAGTGATTGAAGTTATACCCAAAGGGATGCTTTCTTGTGTGTGTCCTCTGTGAGTTTTGACATTTGACACTATTCAGGCTGGGTGTGGTGGTTCATGCCTGTAATCCCAGCACTTAAAGATGATATGAGGCAAGAGGATTGCCTGAGCCCAGGAGTTTGAGATTAGCCTGAGCTACATGGTAAGACCTCGTTTCTACAATTAAAAACAAAAATAACCAAATGTGGTGGCACATGCGTGATGCCTGTAGTCCCAACTACTTGGAAGGCTGAGGTGGAAGGATCACCTGAGTCCAGCAGGTTGAGGCTGCAGTGGCCATGAATGTGTCACTGCACTTCAGCCTGGGCGACAGAGGGAGACTCTAACTCAAAACAAACAAAAAATTAAAAAATGCAAACACTATTCATCACAATGGAGATGTGAAATTAAAATATTTATTCCTTCAATTTCTTTTTTTCTTTATTTTCTCTGTCATCCAGGCTGGAGTCTAGTGGCACGATCCCAGCTCACCACAGCCTGAGACTCCTGGGCTCAAGCCATCTTCCCATCTCAGCTCCTGAGTAGCTAGGACTACAGGTGTGTGCCACCACACCTGGCTAATATTTTGTAGAGACAAGATTGTAGTATGTTGCCCAGGCTGGTCTTGAACACCTGGTCTCAAACAATCCTCCCACCTCAACCTCCCAAGTAACTGGGACTACAGGCACGTGCCACCACACTTGGCTAAATTTTGGATTTTTTTGTAGAGAAGAGGTCTCGTTATGTTGCCTAGACTGGCCGTATTTCTTTGATGATGGTTTGGCATGTTGTAGGCAGTGATGCTTAGCATCTGGCATTAGGTGGGGCTTGTGTTTCTAACACTGAAAAAGTTAACTCTTTATTCTAGGGATAAAATACAGTGACTGCTAAGCAGTTCTCATGAAGCAGGGAGAGACGCTGTTTTGCTCATGTGAGCCAGGTGGAATTTGGGTCTTTTGACATCCACATTCACAGGTGCTGAGCTCAGAATCCTTGCTCTCTCCAGGCGGTGGCTAAAAATCC